ATAGTTTGAGCCATCCATAACGACTTTGGAGCAGATATTGAGCAAAGAGAAGTTTTGGTTGGAGGAGGACGAAGCAGAAGTGTTTCCAGGAGTAGACATCTGAAAAGAAAGAAAGTTTTAGTTAGATTTCAAGATACCTTAATAAAATAACCCAAAGATATAATATCAAGGTTAGGATCCAACTATGAAGATTCACAACTTAGAAATGGGATGCCGAGATCCAAGTGCAAATTTCATAAAGGTAGGTGAATGACGATTCACCAATTCCACCATTAGACGAAACAAACGAAGTGAAATTCCTAATTCTTTTGAGATACATTGAAACTATTCAATGGCATGTTTTGATCTCAGATTATGCTCTTCTATTTGTGACTGGGATGCCGAGGATCACAAACAAGATGTGAATAACCATGCAAATGTGCTTGGTAACCTCATTGTCTTTATCATTAACTATTGATGTGCTGGTAACCACACACGCTCCATCAAAATGACTATAATGAGATACCCATTACTACTCTTTATTGGTGCCTTTTAGTGTGCTGGTTAACCACACACGCTCCACTAACGACCAATAAAGCACAATGTGCAATTTCATGGATTAACATACTTTTCACATTTTTCCTAAAGTAACTAGAGTTGGGATTTTGAAAATAATGTTCTAGTACTTTCTTTAATATCATTATACTTTTAATGAGAAGTAGTTGTCCTATCAAATCCGTTCTGCTAACGACCCTCCACTAATCAAGGAAGCGGTGGGTGAGAGTGGACACCCATTCAACTACCATTTTATAGGCAGTTTCCTTATACCCCCCTTATAGATTAGCTTCGTGAATGAGGCATACTAGCGATTTGACTGACCATATTCTTATACATGTATAATATTAAACTTTTAATCATAATACATATATAGGGTGTGTTTTAAAACATTTTAAAACTTCAAGGGTTTATACAAATTTCGAAATTCAAACTATTAAATTTAAATTTAAATAAACCAATTAACTAGATTTAATATTTATCTTTTAATTAACTATTAATCAAATTATTATTATCTTGTAAGGATTATCTAATTAAATTAATCAATTAATTTAATCCTAATCCTTATCCCTCTAAATTTCGAAAATTAGGGTAAGGATAATTATCCAATTAATCTAATTAAGTAACAATTATCCAAAAACAAGAAACCCTAGTTATCCTCTTAGCATATTTCGAAATTCATAAGGGAGGAGGCTAGGGTTTTCAAAACCCTAACCCTAATTTCGATTAGGGTTCTTTGGAGGCTAGGGTTTTCGAAAAAACCCTTTGATCCAAAACCCTAGAAATCGAAAAATTGGCCTTTAGGGTTTAATAGCTATAAACCCTAATTTGCAATTCAACAATTGTAGCAATTCAATTTAAAACAACAATGGCTCTGATACCACTGATGGGATTTAGGTACAACAAATAAACTAGAAAACAATTCCTAAGTTCACATGCAACCTACTTTGGATCTATGTTTTAACTATTGAACATACAACTTTGAATTGCAAAACAAGAACCCTAGAGGAGAGAGGCTAATTTCGAAATTAACAAACTAGGGTTTAGGGTTTACATACCTTTCAATTGTTATAGCAAACAATTGATATTCCCTTGATCTTGATCTTGATCTTCTTGGAAGCTTTAGCACCACAAGTGTAATGCCTCTAATGGAATCACACCCAAACTAGCAAGAAGGAAAGTAGAAGAGAGAGGGGAGAGGGAGTATGCAAATCTCGGCCTTAGGGTTTCTTCAAAAGAAAGAGTGTCCAAAAACATGAACCAGGAGGCTCCTTATATAGCTGAGGGATCTAGGGTTTAAGGGAAACCCTAGTTATCCTTTGCTTAGGGCCTAAGCAAACCCAAGGGCCTTATCCAAGCCCCTATGGACGAAATTATTAGGGTTTCCCCTAAAGATTTCGTCCACCCTCTTCCAAGGGGGTTCTAGAGCCTTCCACTCAACTATTAGATAATTGCAAACTAGTCCCTGCACCTTATAATTAATTCTTTTAACCCCAAAATCAATTCTGATTAATTTCTGACTAACAATTAATTAAACATAATGATTTCTAATTAATATATTAATCCAATAACATATTAATAAATCATTTATATATATATTAATTTATTAATCTTATAAATTAATATCTCTCCTTTCATAATTTCCTTATCCAGTTGCTAGGTTGAGGGCAACCCAAAAGGACTGTGCTGCTATCAATTCAAGTACATACCAATTATAGTTATGGGCTTAGACACCTAATCCAACAGTCGACAGCTCCTGCATCTCAGGTGGTGCTAATCGGTACGGCGCCTTGGCGATAGGGGCCGCACCTGGTGCAAGGTCGATCCTGAACGCGACCTGCCTCTCCAGAGGCACTCCGGGGAACTCCTCCGGAAACACGTCAGCGAACTCCCTGACAATCGGAACGTCCGAAACCGAAACCTGATCCCTGACCCGCGTATCCACCACATACGCTAGGTAACCCGCACATTCGTGCTGAATATACTGCCGAGCCCTGGCAACTGAGCAAAATCCTGAACCCACTCTGGTGCCCTCGCCGAAGATAACCAGTTATCCCCCACTTGAGGTTCGAACTACCATACGCTGACCCTCACAGTCGATCATGGCACCGAATCGACTCAGCCAGTCCATACCCACTATCACACAAACTTCCCCCATGGGAATCAGAATCAAATCAATCGGGAAGGACACCCTGAAGATCTCCAAAACGTAGCCTCGATAAACTGAAGAAGCAGAAATCCCGTGTTCGTTGGTGATGAAGACTCGCAACGGACACTCTAGCTCTCCTACGGGCAAACCGAACTCCTTACTGAACGATTGAGAGACAAATGACCGACTCGCCCCGGAGTCAAATAACACCAAAGCAGGCAATGAGTTCACTAAGAATGTACCTAACATGGTAAGGCACATATAAGCATAAAACAATTATAATCAGTAAGATAAAAGATAGAAACATACCAGCAACCACATCAGGTGTTGCCCTGGCCTCCTCGACTATAAGTAGGAAGGCGCGTCCCTGAGCCCTCGGGGGCCCTGCTCTACCCTGACTCCCGTCAGTAATCCTCAGTGTAGCCGGCGCTGGAGCCTGCGCCGGCCTGGCAGCAAGCTGTGGACAGTTGGTCTTCACGTGACCAACCTGATGGAAGTGGTAGCATATCCTCATATCCTGAATCGGGACTGGCTGGCGGCAATCCCTCGCAAAGTGCCCCTCATTGCCGCATTTGAGGCACGCACTACCAGATCTACAAACCCCCGAGTGACCCTTCCCGCACTTGCCACAAGTAAGGCCATGTTGGCCTCCAGACCTAGAATCAGCGGTCTTAGACCGCTTTGGCGTCGGCTGTGACTGCGTCGGGGCCTTCCTCTGCTCCCGTAACTGTAACTCGATCTCAAGCTCACGCCGCCTAGCGGCCTCCTGTAATTCCAGCAGTGTATCACAACGCTGGGTAGCAACAAACTGACGGATGTCGGTCTTGAGCATGCTCAGATAACGTGTCATCTGAGCCTGCTCGGAAGCAAACTCCGGGAAAAACATCGCCCTCTCGGTGAACATATGGGTGATCTCTGTCACCGTATCAGCATCCTGTCTCAAATCCAAAAACTCCTTAGCCAGCCACTCTCGCTTAACCCGTGGAATGTAGCGAGCGCGGAACATATCCCTGAACTGCTCCCAAGTAACCGCAACTCTCTGCTCATCAGCATACGACCCTGACATCAACCTCCACCAGTCCTTTGCCCAGGACCTCAGCAGGTTCAGGGCACATCTGACCTTCTGGTCAGTAGGACATGAACATGTGAAGAAGCATCCCTCCACGTTATATAGCCACCTCGTGGCTATGATAGGGTCCTGAGTCCATCAAAATTCGGGGGCTTCATGTTATCGAAGTCCCGGTACTGGAAAGCCTGACTGGTCCCACTGCCTGCAGCGACTACGGCTGCGGATGCTGCAGCGGCAGCTGTCTCGGTGATGGCTGCATATCGCTCATCAAAGCACTCCACCATGGTGGTCTTAATAGACCCAAACATCTCCGGCAACTGAGCCCGGAACAACGTAGCAACCTCATCATACAGGATCTCCCGAATCTGGGCGTCCATCTCGTCTGGCCTCATCTAGCTGATAGTCTCGGGCTCTGCTGATGTACCCTGACTGCCATCCCCTGATCCTGATCCGGATTCGGTCACAAATCGCTCTGTAACCACCATTCTGAAAATATACCAGGGAGATATCAGATATTCCATATAATAAGGGGGAACCAACTCCCTACAAAACCCTAGGGGTTGTGACTTCCTTGCTACGCGTATGGGTCTTGTGCTTTCAGTAGTACGGGTCCATACTACCTTCCACACCTACCCATATTTGTCTTAAGTATCATCACAACGCCCTAACAATATACATATGCATAGGTGATCGCTCAATCCTACCCCTAGAGGAAGGATAAATATCTCATAACTAGCCGACTGACCCCGCATAACTCATCCATGAAACTTCCACCAACCCTGCAGCACTCATGTATGCTAGTCATACATAACGTTGGACCCTATAGACTTTCGAATACCTAATCCTACCCTAAGCCCTTCATCAAACAAGAATTGTCGTGTCGCGGGTTGTGTCGAGAATTGTCATCCCTAGAAAATATGAACCAAACATCAGTATAACCCGGACATGAATTAACCAATCACTTATTTGTTGTGAAACAGTATAAAAAACATCGTCAACCTACGAAATCATGTAGATAAATGTTATTTGCCTTCAAATTGATACAAGGGTGTCATACACTCATACCCCTTTTCACTTACGCAGAGCATATATTCTTACACTTTTACATACAAAAAAATAAAAACCAACAAGTAGAATATATATATAATCAAGAAAGTATCTTAAAACAAAACCCAAAAAGAAACCGAAATTTCAACAACAGGGTATACAATATTTTTAAATAAAAATAAAAATAAAAATAAAAACCCACTACTTTGAAAACAACTGTCTGCAACGTCTTCCAGGCTTTATTCTTCTACCATCAGCAGCCTCCCCCAAAACAACTTCATTCACCAAATCCTTAAAAATCAATCTTTCAACTTCCAAAGCAATAACAGGCAATTCACCATCATAATCTGTCCAACTTTCTGCCTTATTCAACACCTCCTCCCACATAATACTCTTAAAACCATCATCTTCCTCCTCCAAACTCACATCTTCTCTCTTCTTTCTCACCTGCAACTCTTCTATCTCCAAACACAAATCCCTCAAAAGCTTCTGAGCATTCAATGTCTTCTTCACAATCTTAAAAGAAGCACAAGGAACTAACAACCCGAATTTCCCTGTAAGAACTTCATTCACAGTATCAAAGATAAGCTTCCTATGGAGTTTTTCCTTTTTGAGAAGCTTTTCCGGGGTACAATTGTCTTTTGGTAGATTGCTAAATTTGGTTTGTTCCAATACTAGAAATAACTCGGGGTTAATCGGGTGTCCAGAAGAGTGAAACTGGAAAGTTTTGAGGTCTCTTAGAAGGAGCCCAGAAGCTAACAAGATCTCTGAGATGTATCTGTCATCAGGCTTTGTGTTTTCACATAAAGATGCAATGTAATCTGTGTGTGCTTCATCATGACTTGAATTCAGCCTTGTGAGTTTTTGAACCAAGTGTTCGATGTTTTGTAGCTTTTTTCGGTTTATTTGGGATGTGATACTAATACCTGAAGAACATATTATGTCTGGAAGGGTATTATTGTCCGGTTGTTGTTCCCATTTATTCTTCATGAACTTCTCATTAGGTGCTTGAGTAGTAGCATCATCTGTGAGAATTTGAAGCTAGAGTTAGTTCATGAAATCATAGCTGGATTAAGACAACAAAAAAAATGGCTTAAGGGAATTACCTTTCAAAGTCTTGAGCATATGTTTGACAGGAGAAGGAGAATCATCCATATAAACAGCATCATCAAGAACAGAAACCGGACTTGGATATTCTGGATCATGTGATTCATCCTCCCTCTGGATCAAACTCGATTTCTAGAAATAACAAAAGAAAAACGTAAAAATCAGATATTTTCAAGTTTAATAAATGTAATAATAATAATAATAATAGTAGATAACAAGAACCCACCTCTTGTATTGAGCTAGGACTCTGCATGTTATCAATTTGTTGAGAAAATTCAGGAGTGTTGACCACTTCTTGAGACATTTGACCATGGTACTGATCATCACTTTGTTGAATGTTTGAATATTTCGGCCTCCTTCTTCCACCAGGTGAAGTAGTATCCGACAGCTGTCTGGTCAACTGTTTCTTTAACTTACCGGAATCCGCCACCGGAGGTGTTGGCGGCCGAGATCGCCGCTCTAACTCAGCCCTTTTCTGTTGTAACCTCGGGCTGATAGACCCGGAAATCTTCCCGGAATTTGTCGCGTTTTCTTTCACCAAATTTTGTTGTTTTGTTGGAGTCTTTGTATTTGTAATTGTATGTCTTCCACCACCATTCTCTCTTCTTGTAGTTTTAGGAATACTAATGGGGAATTCTGCAACATGCATACCAGATCTTTCAACAAGCTTTCCTGGTTTCATGATCACAATGGGGGAATCATAAGGGTTTTGATGAGAATGAGATCTTCCACGATCTGAAAATCTTTCATTCTGAGTGGAATTGGAAACAGAATGTCGTTTCACCATAACTTGTGTTCCTTCTTTCCGGGATTCCATCGACTGATTTCCTTCTTTCCGTGATTCCATTGACTGCATTGCTTCTAGAATCTGCTTAAGAGCTCTCAGATCCTTTCCCGATTGTGTAAACTGAAGATCTTTCAATCTTTTATCAACTTCACCATAAACAGAAGAGTAAGGGCTCTGAATCTTGGTTGGTGATTTCATCACACGAGAACCGGGCCTCTGAGGACTCCGGGCCCCACCATCTCGTTGCTTCCATGGAGCCGGTTCCATCGGGAATCTTGAACTCGGTTTCATGTCAGCATTCTTCCATAATGGTGATGTTGGTTCTTTCAATGTGTTTCTTGAAAAATTTTGCATTTTTATAGGCCCGAAATGATCACTTCCTTTTAAAGACTCAACTGGGGTTGTTCTAATCGGGCCCAAGCCCAATTCTTTGGTGGAACCGGAACCAGAACCGGAACCGGAATCAGGCAAAGTATCCAAGCCCATCAACTTGGCTACAACACTAGGTGTTGGGTTTCTTGAAACTGTATTGAGACTACGTGTTGAACTCTCTCTACTATCTAAAGAAAGTCTTGGAAGATCTTCCACTTGCTTTGAATTTGAATTCATGGTTTTTGATTGAAACAATAAACGATTTGTTTCCCTTCCATCATAAGAAAACCGGGGACAATCTTTGGGTACTGGATAACTAGACCCATCTCTAAATTGATAAGATTTTGATCTTGAAAGTTCTCTAGGTTCATTGTAATACCAATTTGGTTCTTGAAATTCTCGATAGTTATGTTCAGGTGTTTGTGATCTGTACATGGAGTCTTTGACCACGTCCCGAAGGTCAACACTCTGACGGGACCCACACGATTGGGGCCTTGGGGTGTCTCTTGAAGGGGTTTCTGGGAACACGATCTGATCTGGTTCTTGATGTGTTGTTGTAGTACGATTGATGTTGCAGTCTATAGAAGAGAAAGAAGATGATCGAGACATTGATGAGAAAGAGTCTCGTGATGATTCGGTTGATGCCCTGTGTTTGTCTTGTACAGTCTTGTTTGAATGTTTTTCCTGAAGTAACAAGTGTGATTATTCATTATTGGACTTTAGTTTATACAAAGATGTAGAAATTATTAACAAATTTTAATGGAAAAATAAAGAAAAGACGATAATATACCGAAATGTATGGTCTCTGGTATGAGTTACTTGACTCGCTTTCAGTGGTTCCATTGTCGAACTGCGGGGAACCTGCATAAAGTATGATGTTTAGAGACATGACATGATAGATAAACACTTTGGAGATCTCAACATGAAAACGATAACGAAGATACACAAGTTTCACGATTGATGCTATAGATTTTGAAGAAATCGATTCATTTGTTTATCTTCTTTGAGATCGATAAAATTTCTTAGCTTTTAATCTTTAACATGACTATCACCAGCATGTTGTTCGATTATAAACGTAATAAGAAGAATTTATATAAGAGGAGGATTACCAGGAGGGAATCTCTTAGGGCTGTGGCCGGGAAAGCGTCTTCCGGGAACAATATGGTGGCGATCAAAGATGTGAAAGACACCGGTCATACATCCTATTTGCTTTTGCAGATCTGGGTTGTCATCTGCTAGTGAATGCAAAAGCTTTGCAGCCATTTTTATGCTTTACTTGAGCTTCTCAGCAAGATGATCTAACAAATAATCTCAATGTTTATAAGCTTTGCAGCATACCAAGAAACTTCAAGCAACGATCAATTAGGATGATGAGAAGATCATCAATCACTGAAAGCCAAAAGTCAACTTTTTTCTGGGTTTCTCTCAGACAAAACCACAAACAGTTGGAAGGCAACAAAAGAAATCCAAACCCTAATTTCAAAATTTCTCGCTCTCTATCTCATAGATTTACAACTGATTCATTACCCTTTATTCCCGCAATCTCGAAACATATCTCATAAATCAGAAATCAAGATAAGGTTCCATAAAATGTGGCCTAAAGAACCTTACAACCCAGCTAAACAGACTTCAGATCCAATAACTTTCCACCATTACCCACCAAAGAACAACAAAGTTTTGCTAATGCGAACAAAAGCACAGTACCCAAAGAGCTTCGTCTTTTGGGGGTTTCTTAAGATACTCCTGCTCCGTAATCTTGTTTATAAATGTTGAAAAATCAAATAGTTTTACAGCACAAAAGAACAAAGTTTCCAGATAAGTGTTGTTGATTTCTTAAGGATTCGACAGAGATATGTGAATGTAGATGGTAAAAGTGTGGTGGGTTAGTTATAGTATTGAAAGGAGGTTTCATGGAGGATGTACGGAGTAATAAATAAACAAGGGTTAATACAACAACAATCCAACGTATTAGCAAATGTCTTTGTTCACACTTCCATGTGGGCAGTAGGGATGATTGTTTTGATGTGGGTCTCGGTTTGTCTGCATGAACATGTGAAGTGTCAGAGAGAGAGAGAGAGAAGAGAGAGAGAAACCATTCGCCGAGACCTTCAACCTGCAAGAAGTCAAAAGACTTTGCTATCATTCCATTGGGGTAAACAAAGCGATGCCTCACAAATTCTCAATATTATAAAGAAATTTTTCTGAGTAATTTTATTTGGAATAAACTAATTACATATAACCCATCATATTTATTTTTACTGTTATTTTATTTCTTTTATTTTTATTAAATTCAACCTTATTTTGGAAAAAAAAAAAAAAATCATCGCCATCAGTTTAGTATGTCACGGTGATAAATAAAAAATTGTTTTTTTAAGTCATTCAAGTTAATAATGATAATGATAAGAAATTTTTTATATCTTTTTTTTATGTGTTAAAGAGTGTATTTTCTTGTTAAAAAAACAAAGGCTATCAAGATCATGATGGTAAGATCGAATCTGAATCTTAAGATCCAAACAAGATTAACTCATATTCAAATTTACGTGAAAGATATTGGGTGCGCAATATATATTATAGTTTGATGTTGATTAAGACGTCTATATGGAGTTAACTTTAACTTTTCAAACATGAATCATAACTTTTGTTGTTTCAAACCCTAAAAATTAGGAAGAAAACATCTTAATTGTAAAAAGAAACAAGATAATTATCATCATAAAAGGAATATCATGAGTGTGACCGGCCTAATTTGAAATGAATCGATGAAATTATATGAGACTTCTTGAAACTTGTGATTCTCGATTTCAAGTTGAATAGATGAATTGTTGAGGCTCGACTATATAATAAACCTCGAGAGGTGGGATCGGATCGTGTTAAGATCTTAAGATTGTAGTTGGGATCTTCAGATCTCACTATAAATCTTGCTTCAGATAGATCCTATTGAGATCGGGATCGTTATTGGCTTATAGGATCTTAAAATCGTAAGATATTAAGACCAAGATCGAGATCTTAACAACCATGAGAAAAAGTATTAAAGTGTTTTCGTTCTTTTCTATATTTTTTCATTTTTTCATTTCTTAAAAAAAGTCAAATGTTTATTTCTATGTTATGTTCATTGTATTGTCTCAAAATTTTCATATTAGACTATTTTTCCAAATATTTCTAAGTGAATTTTACATTATTTTTAGGATTACATCATCAAACAAATTATTTACATTGATTATGAGTTTAAGCATTTTATTGTAAGTTTTTATTTTGTTTTGAAAGACTATGTGTATGATTTTTGAATCGAACAAATTACTTTTAATATTCTTGTTATTTGCTTTTAGTGAAAGTTTAAAATAAAATAAAAAATAAAGATTGGATTTAAATCTTCTTTTATAATCTCATTAAATTAAATTCGCACCTCACAATTATGATTTCATCTGTTATGTTAGTCATTTTTGAATTCAAATTATTATTGATATTTTAAATAGATGTATTTTATATCAAAATTAGGTTGTTATAATTTTCTTAAATTATTGCTTTTATGTATAGTTGTTATTGTTAGTACTTTAGCTTTAAATTTACTTGTTTATCTAAAGGGAGATAAATATGATGTTTGCAATTCGTTTCAATTTGTTATTTTATGAGGTTGTGAAGTTAGTAAATTTCAACCCGCAATTCATTTTTGAATTTGTTATTTTATGAGGTTGTGAACTTAGGAACTTTCTACAATTCATCTTCAACACTTATGATAAAGAGGAAAACCTAAGAGTATACGGTATGGGTACCCTCCACGCCGTTATTGCCTACGTGGAGGGCTCATAACGTCGTCTTAACGTGAGGCACATTGCCCTGTTTGCTCGTTTTGTTGTTTCTCGTGGTAACAACAACCTAGAGCAACGACGTCTTCTTCTTCTTTCTTCCTCTGCTTTCTTTTTTCTTCCTCTGCTTTTCTTCACATTAATGGCGGTATAACATGGAACACCATCTTCTAATCTCGTTGTGGAGAGAAGATAATGATATGGCTGCGTTGTGGATGGGTATGGGTGTTTCCCATGCCCGATGCTCTAAATGAAGGATGTGAATGTATTGTTTTGGCGTTTGTGTTGTACAAAAAAAAACGTCAACACCAAATCATCCAAAAATTAAGTTATAGAATAATGTCACATAATACAAAAAAATCTGAACATATTATACATCAAACTTATCAAATTATATATATATATATATATATATATATATATATATATATATATATATATATATATATATATGTGTGTGTGTGTGTGTGTGTGAGAACTACTGAACCATTTCTAAAAAACGCAAAAAAAGGACAAAATAATATTGCATTTAACAACTTTTCTAATTGTAATATCTCATTTTGCATAAAAAAAATTTCATTTTTAATTAAAATAAAAACGTCATTTTCATAAAACCCAAGTCAAGAAATCACATATGTTCGAAATTATAGTCATCCAAAATCAGAGTATCATAAAAACTATGGAATGACAAAGTTATTGATGAGTGTGTACAATCAATTCTTCACCTTTCCATTATCATCTAAAGTACCTGAAAACATTTTAATCTACAACTGCAAGTCAAAGTTTAGTGAGTACCCTAAAATACCACATACAACAATATACACATAAGTATACATGATATCGGGTACGCGCTAACCCAACAGATGTCTAGACTCACAACACTCTAGCTGTTCTTGTCATCAACCCGGTCGATGTGAATGCCTAGACTCACAACACTCAATATTGGTCTTGTCTTCAACCCGACCAAGAAATGGCTTAGATTGATTAGAGGAGAGAGATATGTAATTTATTAATCTATTACATGATTAATATATTAATTAGAAATAGTAATAATTAATTAAGAATTAATCAGAATTAATTTCGGGCTAAGAATTAATTAAAGGTATAAGGGTTGAGTTTTAATTGTTCAACAGTTGAACAATGGAGAGGATCCTGAACCTTCCACAAAGTGGACGGTTTTGGAGGACCCTATTAAGGGTTCTGGAAGCCTACATTTGATAATTAGGAAACTAGATAATTACTGAATTTGAAATATTATTATTATATGTTCAAATTTAAGGTTTCTAAGGTTTCCAAGCAGCTATAAATAGTACCCTAACATTTGGATTTTCGGATAACCTATTCCAAAGGAGCAAATCCGAAAATCTCTTCTCTCTCCCCTCTCTCATCTCAATCTTATGTGTTGTGGGTGTGAAACATTAAAGGCCCGCATACTATTGGAACTAGGTTTTCCAAGGAGACAACAAGAGTTGATTAGCTTGTTTGGAATCTATAAAAGGTATGTATTCTCAACCATGAATTTCGATTTATAGGGCTTATTTTGTGTTTTTCATAACTATGTTGTTATTAGATGTGAAAAAGACATATATCCATTTTATGTTGCATGTACCCTTAAGTGTTAAGAGAATTTTTGCATGTATAATTGTTTTGTAACCTAAAATCCCTAATATATTGGCCATCCGCACAAAGTTAGATGCCTCATCCCCTAACAAATATGTTGAATATGCATAATATAAATAAACAGACAATTCGACATTACAGGTAACAATCTACAAGTCTACATGCCTAACAACAAACAACAGTCTAACCACATCTTAGCATATTAGGACACATACTGCAGTATATAGTATAGTGAGGACTCACCTCACAGTCGAAAGCACACACACACCACAACTCACAAAGAAGTAAAGGCTGGAATTACGAACCACCTAATCATCAATTAGAGGTAAATCCGCAGTCTACAACCTAAAACCCTTAAATTGACCAAAAGTCAACCTTGTCAAAAGTCAACGGTCAACGGTAGGCCACCACGTTGTGGCACCCTCACAACAAAACAATCACGGAGAAACCCGCCACTACGCTGTGGCGAGCATCATGTCACACCATGGGAGCTGGCCACAACAGCTTAATGGATTAAGCTATTAATCCATTAAGTTCAACACCCATACTTTCCAGAAAGCTTTTAAGCATCCCAAAGAGTCATAAAAATACCAACTTTATGTACATGCATGTATAGTGCATGTCCATCCAAGACTAGGTCAAAACGGTGAGAAAAATGGCCTAAATCTCATGCATGGCTTCAAAACACTCTCAAGTTCTAGATCAAGAAGATATAACACTCTAGGGACCTCAGTGAGTAATAAAGTTTCTAACTTTATTACAACCATTCATTCAAACTCAACCAATGGACCAATATATGAGAACTTTCTAGATCTATAAGAAATGAACCATAAAGATGGAGCCTTGAAAAGGTTCTTGGGACCTCCGTTACAATTTCTATAATTATGGAAATAAAGTTAGCTAATTAGTTAGTTATTTTAAAAATATGTACTGTCTATTCCAATATTTAACTAAAATTTTGTTTTTATAAAGATAAGATGCAAATATTTATTCATCATGAAGTGTCTACATAATCCATGTCAGCAGTTTTATGATAGTCGATGCAAAATGTGTCGATATTATCTATTTCTTACTGCTACTCAGATACTATAACCATTTATAATGAAAATCCCATAGTTTCTATCGTTTTTAGTTGGGTATACTTTATCAAAATTAATATTGAACTATACGGAGAAGAAGGTCATCCAATCTTTGTCTAATAACATATTGACTTTTAAGAACGCATTGATATGAGCCTCAAAGGATAGAAAATTTTCAAGTTCATTTTAATACGAACTTTTGAAAATGTGATGTTATATAATGTCAAGGTGTAATGCCATCAACTCTAAAAAAACAATCAATCGATGAGTTTTGTGATAGTTTTTATAGGTTACAAACAAAATATGTGGCGGAAAAAACTTAACCATAAGTTCACATGCAACCTATTGGATCTAAGTTTTCTCTATTGATTTGCAACAAACAATTAAACATCAAGAACTCTAAACAAACAATTAAACATCAAGAACTCTAGGAGTACTCTACTATTTTTAGAAATTCATAAAGGGTTTTAGGATTTACATACCTTTTTATTATTGTAGTAAATAATCAACAATTCCTTCTTGATCAAGCTTCAGAAAGCAAGCACCAAAAATCTCGTGCCTCTAATGGTTTGTACCCAAACCCTAGCAATAGAAGAATCTAGAGGAGAGAGGAGAGGGGAAGGCATTTTGGCTCTAAGTCTCTTAG